AAGTTCACACACTTAGGCGTGCTTTTTGGATCTAACCCAAAGTCACTTTTGATAACAAGATTTAGGGCTTCTGAAACTTTTACCCTGTGTGACCTGGAGGTCACGTGTTGAGATATAAGAAAATTAGTTACCAGGTCTCCTGAGTCCCAGTTTTCCTGTGTGATCACAGGAAGTTTCTCCTCAGCACATTCAGTCAGGGCACTGACATCAATATTATGTAACAAAAAGAGCTCTCAGGTTCATGCCCATTTTCCAGATATGACCTTCCATATGATACCTACTGCCTATGCAATGTGTGTTTATGTACATGCTTACTTTTTATCTTTTCCAGAAATTCCTAATAAAATAAACCGTGGTGAAGCCAAACATCTTGCAGATGCCTCAGGGTCAGACAAAACAGAAAGAACAACAAAGAGGTCCAGAATATCAACCATAAGGCGGATATTTGACATGTCAAAACACCGAATAAAGAGGTCATCCTTTTTCTCAACTGGTGTGAAAGTTTGCCCACAAGAATCAGTGAAGCAGATTTTAGCCAGTCATCAAGCTTACTATAGATTAAGAGGTAAGATGATGATTGCAACATGTACTTCCTCCCTTAAAGTATTTCTTTTAATTGAAGAAACACAGTAATTTTCCAGAATCTTGTTCTTTAGCTCTAGGCAGTATATGTGATATTTGCTTTATGCTTTATTTTTACATAGATAATCAAATGTTATGTGTACACTAGCATGGTTCAAGACAGATAGTTACCAGAACAGAATAAAATAATGCACTGAAAATATTAATGAACTGAGTGTAATTGCATAGTGTTCTAGCATGGCAGAACATGAAAACCAAATTATGCTTGCACTACACTGTAAAAATATACCACCTCTCTCAAAAGTGGAGCAGGTACCATCATTGCTATTCAGAATTAATCCCACCAGCTCAAGACAAGTAATGAAAACCATTCACCGGTCATTGCACAAATATGTTGGAGCATCGGTAGTTAATATATTAAGTCTGTGGCAGTGTTGGTATGCTACAAAAACTGAGATAATTGCCAGCAGCTCATGCAAAGACCTTAGTCTTATTTTTAAAAAGTCTAGAATGTTTTTTCTGCCCAATTAATTCACTCCCTCCCCAGCCCTTTCTCTTCCTCCCTTGACCATAGAGAGCCCATAGAGTTACCATTCCAATTTTAGGTTCCTAGAATGCACAGTGCAAATAGCCCTCTGTTTTTTTATATTTCTTCTCCTCCTCCCTCTCCCAGCTTTTCATTCTGTGGCTGTTCCAATTTGTATTAAAAAAATGTATATTTTTGTGCTGCAGCTAGGAGGTCCAAAGCTAATTCTAAAATCTAGTCAGCACTGCTGGGATGCAAGTATCTAAGGCAACATCTGCTCTCTAAATCAACTTTGCTTATCTATTTGTCCTCTGTATTCATCCCCAACCATTCACATTCATGTACGTAAATTTGCTTCTCCTCAACTGTCTTTCAGGGAACCAGCTAGTTCCCTCTGAAATGAAATCTGGATGTAGAGCTGCGAAAATTTTACTCCAGCAGTCACTTGCTCTAGGCAGCATGGGCAAACTACACAAATGTCTGTAGCCACACATATTTGATATCCATTGTGGGACTGAATTCCAATCTAATGAGCTTTAGACAGAATTCTGAAACATGTGTTAAAGAGGCAAATCCAAAAAGCCTTTCTTAAATACTAATTAATCCCGAAGGTCCCTAAAACCCCCTGGCCACGTCCCTGAATGGTCTGAAAACAAGCTGTACTGGGACAGGCTGGTATCATCGACCTGAATTCAAAGAACTGCAACTATGATCACCTTACACTGCCACTTTTTTGGAGAGCAGCACATCAGTTTGGAGTGGGATAATGGGCTTTGTAAGTCTTGTAGTGCAAGCAGGTTTATACTTACAGCTCCTCTTTCCCAGCAGTGTCCTACACTCACAAAATTCTCTGAGTAGGTGTCATCCAGTTCTTCAACTGAAGCTGGAGTACTTCCCAAAAAGTAAACAAGAGAACAGATGACTGCAACTGAATACTTTGCACACTCATTCAGAAAAGGTGTTTCTGCTCTCTTGAATAGTTGCACATTTTCCACTACAATGTCCTTGGTTAAAAACCTCAGAAAATCTTTCCTTCAGGGAAAGTTCAAAACACAAGACTTCTGCCCTCCCAGCTGAGCAAGCTAATCTACCTGATGAAAGCGATAAATGAAAAAAAAGTTAGAAATTAAAATGTGGTGATGCAAGCATTATCCTTGAAGCCTTCCCAAAAAGATAGTCTGGTAGCCACACTGCAGTGGCAGCATTTCAACTCTGATATGTTATGCCACACCATAGCTTAAGTCACCATGAAGACAGTCCCTCATGTGGGGCATGACTGGGAGCATGCATGGAATCAGCTATGTCGCCTCCTCAGCTGGACATGTGTCGTTTTTATCTAAACCCTGGTAGCTGGATTACTTTTCATCAGATAGCATATCTTTATTCAGCAGTTACTGCTCACAAAAATAGATACCACAGAGCTGCAAGTGAGAAAAAGATGACAGAAAGTAGCCTTAACCGCTAGATCATTATGAATAAATCTCTTCAAAAGAATAAATCTCTTCCTTTTTAATAATCTGGACCCATCTGCTCCACATGCAGCTGCTCTCCTGGGAGGGCAGGTTGTTCCTGATATATTACTGAGGTGCCCTAACACAGCTAGGTGAGTACATCCCTACAGCAAGTTTAGAGAATACCTAGAGAAACTGATTGCACTAATTTCAGACACCCTGATATTTTAGATATGCAGATAATTATGTCACTCTAAGCAAAAGAGGTATCAAGTACTGAAAATAAATGTCCCATGTCATAGTAATGAACTTTGCAAAGTAAAGTGCTAAAGGCAACAGCTTTTAAATTGCTAGCAAGTCTTTTTTAAAATGGGTTTTCTAATATGTCTGAAAATCACCCTTCTCTAAATGCATTAAACTTTAAACAACATTTGTTCCTTCATCACTCAGTGGTTTTAAACATGACTCAGGTCCAGCAAAGGATTAAGTCTATGTTTAGTTCAAGGCTATGCAAAGTGAGTTAAATGAAACCCAAATATTTTGGGTGCAGGGAGGGGCTGGTATCTGAACAGAAATCCAAAGACATTAGTATAGTTAGTCAGGTAGGCAGTAGCCATCTGGAGGAGGGAACAGTTTATCCTCCAGAATCTTTAGAAATGGTTTCAATTAACAAAAAGGAGACTTCAGCAAGACATTGGTAAAATTGCACTCAGAAGTGTAGCCCCACCTGGCCATCTGTGACTCTCAAAAACTTACTTCCACAGACATATCAAAGACCGGTGTTACCAGTATCATTAATGGAAAGTAAATCCTACAAAGTATTTCTGAGCAGTCATTAGTAAACAAATCATACGAAGAGCAGTTGAAGGAGCTGGGATTGTTTAGTTTGAGGAGGAGGAGGCTGAGGGGAGACCTCATCACTTTCTACAACTATTTGAAAGGACACCGTAGAGAGGTTGGTGCTGGTCACTTCTCACAGGTAATTAATGACAGAACGAGACGGAACAGCTTCAAGCTCCAACAGGGTAGATTTAGGCTGAACATTAGGAAAGAATTTTTCACAGAAAGAGTTGTCGGGCATTGGAATAGGCTGCCCAGGGAGGTGGTTGAGGCACCATCCCTGGATGTGTTTAAGAGCCATTTAGATGTGGTGTTGGGGGATAGGTGTAGGGGAGAACTTTGTAGAGTAGGGTAGATGGTTGGACTCGATGATCCCAAGGGTCTCTTCCAACCTAGACAATTCTATGATTCTATGATTTTATAACCTAGCTGCTGCTGCTTTCTTTCCTCCCTCGCATACTGATGCATGTCATAATCCTTACAGTGCTAGAGAGCAAGATCTTCACAGCAGGAACTTTTACAAGTTTTCCTTGAAATGCCTGAGTTCTGACTGCTAGAAAATAGATCAAAAAACTGGACACCAAGCCCAAATAAGCATTCTAATATATTTTGTAACGTATTACAGCTGAACTTCACAGCTTTCTTGCATAAGGAACGAGCCAACAGAATATGTAAAAGTATTAGTCTCCATTATTTTGTTTTACGTAAGCTCATGTAAATAAGTCAGTTTGCATCCAGAAAATGAAGGTCCCTTAGAGCCATTCCTGAACACCAACTTTTCGAAATCTCCCCCGCTGTCTTATTCCCTTTATGTTCATTTTCATTTCTCCAAATGATGCAGAACACTACTGTTCTCTCTGCAACCACAGTTCCTGTTAATCTTGTCTGATATAGCCTGCCGTTTAACTGGGTGATTCATCACCATGGAGGAGATAGATACTTAACACTGAACAAATGACTGTGCACAGTTGTGTAGAGAGAAAGGAAATCATGTTCTTTCCAAAGGAATTTTACCTATACCAAGTTATTCAATTTTTCCAGAGGTGTTTAAAGAAACATAAAAGCATGTACCTGCTGTAGAATGACCTTAAAATTTTGAAAAGACTAATCACATTGAAATTTTGGAATATAAGCAAATCATTTGAGCCTGCTGCATTTAAAAATATTTTTTCCATGAAAATATCTTTTATATGTATGCGGAATACAAAAATCTTAAATATGTTCTTTTTAGCTTGTTCTCTGCATAGTTAACCATACTAATGTACAAAACTTTTGTATACAGTTAAAATTATGATTATTCAAGTATGAGGACTGCTAGATTATTTTTTTCTCTACCTCCCTGCTTGTTCTCACTGGAACATCCAGTATGTATCTTCTTATGTATGTACCTTTGAGGTTGAAGGAAGTGTGCTTTGTGTTTGCTCCTTATTCATGACGATGATGTCAGGCCAAATTAATCTCTCTTTTAAAATGAGGGAAATTAACAATCCTTACCTCAAAGATGATTAATCCTTCAGCATAAAAGCAAATGACTGTCAACTCAAAAATACCTAAAAGACCTAAATATCTAAAAAGAACCTAGAAGTTGGATTTGTTTACTAAGTACAGTAAAATGTGTAAATACCAAACAACTTTAAAAAGGCTTTCAAGTTTACTTTTTGGTACAAAGCATCCATCCCCAGCCCCTTTCTTCTTACTCAGTCTGCCAGGAAGCTGTGTGGGAAGCCTTTCGTATTTTTCTGGATCGGATTCCTGATACTTCTGAATATCAGAACTGGGTTACTGCCTGCCAGAGGGAAACCTTCTGCATATTCGACATTGGCAAAAACTTCAGCAATTCCCAAGAACACCTGGAAATAATCCAACGGGTAAGGATTACTGACATTTGTTTAGAAACTGGGGGAGACTTCCAAGTGCCTCCCCATCTGCTTATATAACAGCAAAGTATTGCTCAGGAAGAGGAGGGGGCATGTGTTAGAAGGAAAACATAATACAAGTACAGTAAACGAAAGAGCTAACAGGCTTCTGCTCAATGGTTGGATACACCCACTAGTAAAATGCTGTTTTTCTTAATCTTTTCGCAGCGAGTAAAACATAGAACCTTCCAGGAAAGGTAAGTAGCACAAGTAGAACCTTGCCACTTGATGTTACTGCCTTTTTTGAAAAAGATATGTGTAGATGTGCGTGGATGTGAACAGATATACAGATAGCACTGTGGTGTATTTGGTGTGTGCTGTGAGAGATGTGTATACTGTATGTATCATAGTACACAGTAATCGAATCACAAACAATTAAGGTGGCCAAATGTCTGAGTTGTCCGTTCACTCTGAGACACCACAGAATATCTTCTTAGACTGTGAGCATGAAACCCTGACAGAGCCACAGCTTCGTGTTAGATAGTGTTGTTTGGGAGTGTGACAAAAGTTTACCCACAATTGCTATAACTCTCAAAAAGAAAGTTGGAGAGCTGAACAAAAGTTTATCTGGGAGCATACATTAAGCAATAGTATGAAGACTCCATGCTTTCACTTTAGCTTTCCCCTGTATTTTTACACATCATGATAGGGTTAACTAATGTGGTGCTTTATTCTATAAATTGGAAAAAAAGTATGCTCCTGACAATGCTCAGAAGTCTGAAAATGGCAGCATTAAAGTTACAATACTGAACTCTGTCTCTCTGCATATAAATACTAGAGTACAGCCAGACAAATCATTGTCCACAGTTTCTCCGATTAATGTTTTGTTTCCTTCAAATTTTCTTAGATTTTCCAGTGTAGCAAATAATCTTTTCCATTCATAAGTTATACTGATGATCACAGAGGTCTTAGGTATCTTTATTCATTACAACATGGGAGCTTTGAGTGTTCTTTCTCAGAAATGTATTTTTAATAATGTAGGACCTAATTAAACTTCCCTGGAAGTCCAAAGGGAGGTCTTTACATTCAGTCTAGTGCAAACAGCAGCAGCAAGGCAATAAGTGAACTGACTGATCTCAGATCTTATGCTTCTTGTGAACAGTATGGGTTTCCCTAGACACAATTCAGAAGGTGAAGTAAACTCTATGAAACTACTCGTATTTTAGCTGGAAATGTAGGCAGCCATGATTATGCGTTGTTGGACTTCATCTTTACTACTTTGTGGTTTGGGAAACATTTTGTATCTTCTCTAGATGCCATGTAGAGAGATCAGTCTCCATTTAAAGATGCAATACATAATTAGTTAATATTGTGAAAACACTACAAATAATAATTTAGTTCTCACCACACAAGATATCCAGAGGATGTGGTAAATCAGGAGTTGTTCATATTCTTTATTTACGTTATTAAACACCTAGGGTGGTCCTGTATAGAAATGCAGCGCAGCCATCTTTTCTCTCTCTGTTACAATCATGTTGTCTCAGTTAACACCACACTGTGGTGCCCCGAGTTCTTTCACTCATATCAGTTTTCACAAACACTCCACCTGTGTGCACTGCCATAATAGCTATTTCTATATAAATTTTGAGGAATTCTATCATCATTTATTTCCATGACTGGGCTTTTTATTTTATGCTGTGGTTTTTTCCACACACCTCCATGTTTGGGTTTTAGAACCTAAAACAACTGAAATTCTTCACTCCCCAATTTCAGGGCAGAAAAATCTCAAAATGTCACTTACAAGATTCTTATCTAATAATCTAAATGTTTCAAAAAGCTAAAAATGAATAAAAATTCAGGTTTAGAGCAGAAATTATTCTGTAGCCTTAATTGAAGGACTCTGATACATCTATTATAAAATGTGCATATATATACACATACCCCTTCTGCTTTCCAGGCAAGCTAATAGTCTCAGTTCCAAAATTTCTTCATCAGCACATGACAGTAAAACTTAAAACAGACAATAATATCAACAATACAAAAAAAAAACAACAACACAATCCTGTGATACAAGGCAAATGATCTGTACATCACACCTACCATATTTTTACTTGAGTTTTCAACTGTCTGCCATGGGGACCATGGTAGGCATTAACCCACCAGTGCTACATGCAGATCCAAGCATAAATATTCCTACAATTCATAATAATCTTGATCCAGGAATCCGATTTGAAACTATCATTCATTGGAAATGTCCTTATGATATTATAATGCAAGCTGACAACTGAACAATAAGTCCACCCATCCTCTCTGCACACCGAACTGTGAAACACCCTTGGAACCATGAAATATCCATTACCTCTAAAATTAGAAGGCGGCCAAAGCCCTCACTGAACTGTCTTGATAGCACAAGATATAGCAAAGGAGGCAATAGTTGGTTTAGATAACGTACAAGAAGTCTTGCTTCCATTTTAGTCAGTAGTCAAGCATCCATGGACTTCAAAGAGAGAAAAAGCAGACCCTGTGCACCGATTTAATCTCTGTGACCCCATCCCTCTGATTGCTCAGAGAAAATCAGTCAGGAAACCTCATGAGCAGACTCCTCACAGGATTGGTAGTCCTCAGTGGAGGAGTATATCAGATTGTATTTTTGTTCATTGTAAGAGCAAATACCATAATGAACGAAAAGAAAGGAAATATATAAACTGTTGAATATGAAATATGTTCTACTGTTCCATTGCCTGTTTAACCAGCTTATCAAATATCAAATATTCCATTAGGAATAACTTCTTTCATTTAAAGTACACTTAATATAGTGGGGATTTCTACATCTTTTTTACACCTTTGCCATTGCCAGTACAGCATGCTGATCATTAAATCACTCATTTCTATTTGATTGATAGGAAAGATGAAATATCCACAGAGAAAACAGGTGGCAAAAAGCTGGAAGACATTCCTTCCATTTCTACAGGTAAAATCAAATCTGCTTGCTGTGCGTCTACCCGTTAAATAGAATTGCTAAAACCAGTGATTCATAGATCTTAGAAGGCTGTAATTTAATGAATGCAGTAGAAGCATGACAAGTTCAGTGAAGTAAAATGAAAATGCTTTAGCAAAATAATCTATAAGAAGCATTTTTTTTATTTCTTTACAGCATGTCTGCTTCTCAAATATAGCATTCCAGGTTTGTTTCAGTCTTTAAATGCATATGTTTTCCTAGTTTCAGAAGAGTAGAGCTAATTTTGATTCCGTTATGAAATAACATCTAGAGTGTCTGCTGCTGCATTTCGTTAACCAAAATAAGCAAGCAGATGAAAATAAATAATAACTTTAGCCAGAAAGTCACAGTGATGCCAAGACATTAATTGGAGCAGTTTATTCCAATTAGACCTACCAACACTGTTGTGTACTACAGTTCTTTAAAATAACATTAGAAATTCATGCAGTGACAAAAATCTGTAAATATGAGCATTTTGATTCAAGGAGGAAACACTCCGCATGCATATTTTTATGAAGGCCAAATATGACAGAATCTTATTCATAGCAACTTCCAGCATGGTAATTTTGTCTTTAGCTGGAAAACTCTGTCAAAGCCTCTTGTTACTTTAAATTGAGCCCTAAAGAAAGGTGGCCATCGTACAGACAAAGATCTCGACTGGCAAAATCAAGCTTAGACATTTGGTGATATATAATGCAGTACAACAGGAAATGATCAAATACTATTATTTAATCCACACAATTTCATTGATGCATAGTCAGTGCCACTTTTGCCTTCAATCGCACACGTGCAACGCTGCTGACGTTTTGACATGGAAAGAAAGGCCGTCTGTTGTATAAAAAGTAGCAGCTTTACCCATGCCATAAGTCATGACCACCTTTCACTAGTGCAAGCTTGCGTTCAAACACACCCTCCGTAAGGAAAGCTGCTCCAGTGAGCTGACACCTGACCAACACAGAAAGGGGAAGATTTTTGATATGCAAACCTGTTCTTGCCTGATTTTGCTTTAAACCCACCTCCCCTCTAGGCTCCCCCGGCACGTCCCTCTCTCCATATGCACCAGTACCTAACGGCACGCTGCTCAACGAAATTGTTAACGACACGAAGACTCCTGTGAAGGTGAGGGCAGCCTGTTTTCCCATCCCACTTTTTCACTCACCTCTTCTTTCCGAGCTCAGCTAGCAGAACAGAGGGGGAAGCCTTCTAAACACTTAGTGCTAATAACCCATGAGTGCTCCCCTCTGTTACTGCTGGTAGGACTGGAGGGTTTTATTACCATCTGTTTTGTACTGTAATAGTGCATTATGTGTCTTGCATACGTGGTATAAAGTATGGCAACCAGCTTTTAGGCAGAGTCTTCATTCTTTTAATGAGGGTCCCATTGCCTATTTTGCACCATTTTGTAACCTTGCTCTTCATCAAATAATGTGAAAATGCATACCTTCTGAGCCTTCCACACCACAGGGGGTATGACTGGACCCTCTCGCCTTTTTCCTGCCAGTCAGCTGTCAAACAGGGGATCTCCCCTGATGTCTCCTCAGAGCAGCCATGCAGTGTGGCTCCAGGGGCTATCCCCTCCTCCACAGGTTTACAGCAGCTACCACAGGCCACAGGTTATATCTGAGATGGAGTAAGGGTGAGAGGAGGAGTTATTTTCCCCATCCTGGCCGCTGCACCTGGGGGTTGCATGGAGGTGGCCCTGGCCCCAGGGCAGCTGTGAGGAACCTTCCGGAACCTACCTCTGAAGAGAGACCAAAGCCTCAACCAGGGCCTGAGGGCATAGGGTGGACCTCGCTGCTGAGGAGCCCCAGGTGGGAGCCAACCCTTTGCATTTCCCCTGTGAGATTTTTTTTCTTTCTAAAAAGTTTGCCCTTCTAGAGCAGCTCCTCAAAAAGCCCCTCTGGGGTTTTTTTGGTGGTGGTGCGTACCGACTGTAGGAAGAGGCTCACACCGCCTCCTCCCCACTTGGGTCTTGCCACTGCCACCAAGAATTTGAGGGCAGAAATGATAGCCAAAGCCTCAGACATTACAGCCCGGGCAAATCGCCACCATTCTTCATCCCACCTCTGCAAGCTTCTCAGCTCCGGCTCAGGAGTTGCACTGGAGTGATCCCAGATAAATACTGTTTTAACTGTCCAAAATGATTACATCCTCAGGATCTAAGAAAGCAATCTTAATCTTAAGAAAGGATCTTAATATTCTCAACTGTGTATTACCTACCTGTATCATAGCTGTTGGAGAAAAAAAGCAGATAGAATATGAGGAAAAAAATGGTTATAAAATTGCTTATTTGTGATGTTTGAGGTGTACCGGGAGATTGGCATTAACCAGTTCCTCCATGTTATAGGTCTCTTGGTTATTTCTCAGCCCAGCCCTTTGTGACAACCTCCCTAAAGGCTGGCTCCTCAAAAGTCATAGGGCAGCTATATAGAAAGTGCATATTCCTTAAGCTTTTGTTTAATGATACAACATTACAGAATGCTCTTTCTCTAACTGATAAGCCATACTTTTATGTGTAACAGAAAACATACTTTCCTCTAAAACTGAGGCATCCTAAGGAATGACTTAGCAGAACTGAGTTACGCGGGCTGAATGGATGCAAAAAGTATTCTTGCCTGTTTCACTCATTCTTTATTATACCAACATCTTGTTTTTCTCTCTTATCCCCTGACACACCATGATTGCACATGTTTCTTGTTCTGCTTATTCTTGGAAGCTATCAAAACCTAGGTGTTATTATGGGACAGATGTCTCTAGCAGCCTCATGCCAACCCACCTGGCAGCAGAAGCAGAAACCCCACGTCTCTGTGGGATTTGGGCTGATGAGCTTGCTGCTCTTTTGGGCCAGTTTCTTCTTGATCGTTGCCTTGCTCTTGTTGTGCTTGTTTGTTTATCCAGGGAATAAGAAGCCTGGGTGAGAGTAGAATTGTCCTTGAGCAAACAAATGTATAAAAGAAGTGTTTAAAGAATACAGAATATCTAAATATTGCTAATAAGTATAAACATGCGACTTATGTCCAGTACATGCAGTAAAGAAAAACCTCTTTTGTGTTTCAAGACCTTCAGATTTTTAAGAGTCAAATTTATAGAACCCTAAAATTTTTTATTCAGAAAAAACCAAAAGGCTTTTTTGTGTAATAAAATACATTGGCAGTGGAATCCTGCGATGGTATGTGTTAACATTAGTAACTAGATTTGTGAAGGACTGGGAGACTGGCAGAAGGCAGGAGTTTCCTGGGTGGCCTCTCTGCATCACCTCTTCAGGTACTTGGGTTCCAAGACCTGAAATTTGAAGCTCAGCTCTGTTTGTGAATAACAAATAAGAGATAACTCCTCACCTTAAAATTAGCAAATGTGTATTTTTATACGTAAGATGAGTTAGGAAATCTTTCTGAATTCACCCATAGTGGGGTCTCCTCCTTGGGGCCAGCACATCGTAGCCTACAAATCAATTGGCTTTTGGAGTTTAACATTATTAGAGAAAAAAATTAGTAAGCGTGGTCCAAACTGCAAATAGTGTTAGGAAACAATAAACAAAATCAGAGTACTTTGAATAGCAGTAAAGTCAGCTGCACAGTAAAGGTGTAACGTGGGTAGGGCTAATTCTACTTTATTATCAGGAAAAAACAAATGCAAACATCTGAATGTGAAATAGTAACAGACAGTCTGGCACTCTGCTCTGGTTGACCATGAGTATTCTGAGGGTAGGAAACCAACCAGCTTTTAGCATTTGCTTGTCACTCTCCT